CGTTCATCTTCAAACATTCATACAGTCATACTGCTTTTATTTTGAAACACGCTATTGTATCCGTACTTCTTGAGCATTTGTGTGCACCAATAGACACGAACATCTTTTTGCGATTTGGTCAAATGATGGGGGTTCCACTGAGAACAAATCTTTCTCACTGCTAAATGATAGTGCAATATTTTTTATATACTAGTGGAACTGGTAACTATGGTTCCCTCGTTCTCATAGTACGTATATGTCCCATAACGAGCTTGTATTACGAGCAACAGTTTTTGTACAGCATCAATGTTTTCTGGCACAACAACTAATTTTGGACGACCTTCACAAAATTCGTCAGTGACTAGCGTTTCACAGTAACGCACAAAGGTGGGAGCTTCTTCGCCAAATGTGAAAGTAAGTTAATCGATGCACTCTTGTTTCGTTAATCCACATCGAAAGTCTGTTTTGATAAAAAGTCTAAGGTAGGTTATATTTAATAATATCTAACTATCGTATGGAAACGTCAGATGACATCTGACAACAATCAGTGTTGATAAGGGTCAATATATAAATAGTGACGTCCGTATTAGCGTTGCTTATAAACACAAGTATTAACTTATTCGCTCAATCGAAATCCATTTGTTTGCTTGTTTGCCTATTTTTGAAAGATTTGGCTAACTTCGGAATCTTATATATTTAAAAATCTTTATAATTTTAGTGGCTGGAATATAAAAGGTATCAAGTGTATGCATGTTGGAATGTATAATTTGTAGATATATCGGGACTGCTTTATTTTGGACAGTTACTTTTAGAGTTGGTTTACCCGGATTCATAAAACAGACCTGCAGATTGAACGAATATATAAAAATTTTACTTATTTAAATTATCTTACTAACCCGATCAAAATATATAAAATTTGTGTGATCTTCAATGTATCCTTCATGGTAACAAACATAGTTATTATACTATGTTAGTCTGCGCAACTCACACACTACAATCACACTTTGATTTCATGCTTCTAAGGATATCACATACCTAAATCTTAATAATGAAGTATTATTTCTTATTATTAAGTATTAAGTATGAAGGTTTTCGATAGAGAACTTAGAGTTCTCTTTCAAAATATTTATGTATGTTTATGTTTGTGTATCGAATCTTCCTTGTATAGTTCAATTACTGAAAAATTTTTCCGCATTCATAACCTAATCTATAATACAATACATTCTATACTCATACATAGATTATATGGTCCTGTAATATTTTCTTTATTGCGCTTTAAATATTTATCAGTTTTTTTTTGTAAAAACTGACATTATTGTTTAATATTATACATATCAATCAATCTTATATCTATCTTCTACAAGTTTAATCAGATTCTTTTATAGATGCCTCCGTTATATTGAATAAACTGAATAATCTGCTAACGTTAGGTCATCAGTCTTTTAATATTCAAAATTGTAGTCAAATTCTTCATTGTATAAGATATTAATTTTATATTAAATTTTCATATTTATTACAAGTGAAGAGCGTTTGGTAAAAAATAGTACAGTTGTCTGCTGAAGGCAATGCTACACAAACAATTGCGTTCACATCAAACATTTTGCCCATGGTATGATTCGACATGTCACATATGATTGACAAACCTTTTGGCCTACAATCATATTTTAAACAAATAACCAAAATTTCTGAATAAATTCCTAAAAAAAAATATTTCTTTTATATATTTTCAAGAATGAATATTTCTTTCTACCACTATACTTTTTTTGTTAGTTTTTATAGGTTATTGAATTGGGAAAAGATCTTCGTGTTCTTCGAAATAGACGTTGAGTGCTTCAAATGCCATGTTCTTCAGGGATTATCTGTAATGAATGAAAATAAAATGATATAAAAAGTCTTAACTCAACTATAAAAATGTTTTACATACGTCTTAAAATAATTAATATAATTTTGTAAATGCTGTGTTGCAAATTAATAATATAATTAACTTTCTTGCATGGCCAATCAGCTACAGTAGTTGTTGTTGCACACTTCCAGCGTTAAGTTTTTCACCCTTCCGCTTTATTTATTAAAAAGAGAGAGAGAGAGAATAAGTGCAATTTTAAGATTTACTTTCTTCTGCTTTTTGAATCATTGTAAGCCCTATCTCATAGCTGAACTCGATCTTGCCTGAACTCATTCCTAGTTGAACCGCATAGACCAACGATTTTAACTAGCTGTACTCGATGTTGTCTGAAGTCGTGCCTACTTTAACCGCATAGAACAACGATTTTAAATATCACCACAGAAAGTAGTTCAACGGCAACAGATCCTGTTTCTTCAGATTATGTTGTCATCAAATTCTTCCTTTATTTACTCAATAACTTTTTTAGAAACATGTCTTGTGGTACTATCTTATTAAAACTAAAATTATTCGAGGTCAGGTTTACATAGGTAATTTTACAAACAAGAATTTTTCTATATATTTTTCTATATATATAATATATATAGATATAATATATATATATTATATATCCTCCGCTATTGAAGATAACATTTACATTTTCTTTGGTTTTCGAGACCATGTTCACACAGTTTTCATTTTCTTCGACTTTGAAGAAGTACGGTCCGATGATGACGCTATCAGTGGTTGGTGATTTCTTAGCTATCGATTCGTTTTAAAAAATGTACTGATTGATGCTATGTATGGTAACTGGTAACTGCATCTGACTACACTTTTTTAAAACAAATATTACTGCAAATATGATTCGATATAGAGCTATGTTGAAAAATATGTTGTGATAAAAGTTTGGATCAACTTCTAGTCACGATTTTCATTTTTAAGTTAACTGAATTTTGTAAGGACGTCCACAGCTTCGATGAATGGAAAGAAAGTTCTTGTTAATGTGAAATCGATAAATAAGTGTGTTTCTCGGTACTGTCCATTGTATATCACCAACGATGATAGTTTTATCTGTACACTTTCCGCATACTATTAATGGTGACTATACATAGTTCGGAGAGCTTAGTACCCATACATAACATACATGTATCTGTTTTATTAATATTATAATATAATTTAAATGTTTTGTTTTATTTACTTAGTGTGGCATTTGTATTTTAATGTTTAGATTAATGAACATCCAGATAAAAGTATATTAAAATTAACATTCATTAAGCTAGACCCGCTGTTTCATATATTAATGTTGGGCACACCTGTTAAAATATTTTAAAGTGATGGCATACCAAATTTTAGAAATTTTGTTTTATTTTTGTTTTGACTCCTAAAAGTGTGTTTAAATTTCAAGCTTTTTAAAATTTTCTGATCAAAAATGGGTTTTAATAATTTTGAGTGATAAAGGAGTACCATAATTTGTTTCGGAAATTGTGACAACTCAATTAGTATATGTTTAGAATAAAATTTTAACTATTAATTGATATTACCTTAATCAATAAAATATGTCTAAACATAATGCACACAGAACCAGTAGTAATAATGAACTCAATCTTTTTATTAAAAACTGCATTAGCTTTTCTGTGATTCAAGATCCTTGGCTTTCACCATAAAATAAATTTCTCTCATTTCCTGACACTTTGAAAAAACCATACATACCTACTTTATATTCAGATTAAGTAGGATTCCTACGTATTCAGAGTGTAGATAATTTGACCTTATACTTTTGAAGAACATTCTCCATGACAACCAATACATTTTTGTATTCAATTAAACCAATTTTAAAACAGTTTTGCCACTCTGAAGTTAGCACCTCCAAAACAAAGCCTCACTGGTCTGTTTGCGCTGCTTTAGGAACAAGAAAAAGCGGTTGGTGCCAAGTCGGACTGTTAGGCGGATGACTCGTCAATTCGATGTTTTTTGTTCTTTTATATAAAGTAATATGTGGAAGCTTTCATTGTCGTGGTGAAGAATGATCATTCTTCGACATTAGGTTTTTCTATATTCTCCAAAGATTTCCGGCAAACAAATGTTTTAGTACCACTATCAATACCACCAGGATTGACCATTCTACATTGTTCAAAAATATGTGACCATTTGCTTGAATGTACTTTATCAGTGGGCAACTTTTGTCGGGTTCTGCTAGGTTTGGAAGACCCAAACAGAGGATTGCTGCTTTATTTCATGCTCATAAGCGTAGATCCATGATTCATCATCTATCACGATGTGGTGGAAGTTTTTTGAGCTACCCTGACCATGTTTCTTCAGTATTTTCTTGCACTTATCAATATGTACATGCCTTTTTTTAAGCAATTGTCAAAGTATGGGGAACCAATGGGAACAAATCTTTCTGAAAGCTAAATGTATGTGTGACTATTTCTTAGTTAGTATTTTAAAACATCTTTTGCACAATTCTGATTTTCCGAATATGCCAATATATGAAAGTTCCAAAATATAATTTAACAATTATTCATAACTTAATCAATATAAAATTGCTTGTGTTTGATGGAACTAGATTCGCATAATTCTATCTCTGAAAGTAAGCTATGTTAGCATATAGCTTAAATTGGCATGGTATGCCTGGAGAAGTGGTATCAGTTCCAAATTTATTTATATATACAAGTATAAATAAATTATGTTTTTAATACAAATAAATTGTTATGTTATATATAAGAATAAAGTAAATTATGTAACACATATTTTTGGAGGTTTATATTATATATTTGTTGTAGAGACACATTTTTTCTATTTTTAAAAATATTTTTGTAACAAAATAAACATGATATATAAACATGATTAAACAAAAATATTTATTTACTTAGTAAATAAGTGAAATTTAATGAAATTTTAAAAATTTAGTCGTTTAACAATTAACTTCCTTCCGTAGGTTTTGTATAATTTCTGGGTTTTTAGGAACAAAAGCCTCTTCCAGCAGCTGGTTTAACTCTATATAATAGATGTGTAGAATAACTGTTATTAAATATTCAAATAGTTAATGTTTACACAAATGGCATATTACAGTTTACAAATTCGAATAGTAAAATAAAGTATAAAAACACTGTAAACTCTTCGCAGTTAAGTAATAAGCAAAATGTTCGGCAAGGTTTTAAAATTATCATTGCTGGTATTGGGTTTGTCGCAAGTGGTTTATGGTCAGTCTAAAATAGTTGGCGGCTATCCAGCGACTATAAGTGATGTACCCTATATTGTAAACATACGTGCAGGTGGTCAATTAATTTGTGGTGGGACTTTGGTACATCGAAGATTCGTTGTCACCGCTGCCAGCTGCATTTGGAAGTACTATGCACCCCAAATGATAGTACAAGGCAATACAGCTAATTTTAATGAAGTCGGCTTACGACGTAAAGTAAATCGTGTAATCTACCCAGCAGCTTATAACACACAAACCCTTGATTTTGATGTGGCTATGCTGCGTTTAGATTCTCCTATGAATGGTGCTAATACTGTGCCAATTGGCTTGTATACAAATGGTGTGCCCGTGGGTGCTACATTGAAAGTATCTGGTTGGGGACAGATCAGTGAAAATGGCAACAATTCAAATCAATTGCAATCTGTGCTGGTAACTTCAATAGCTAAAGATAGGTGTTTAGCATCATATGAGTTAACGTCTACAATGTTTTGTGCTAGAGGTCCAGGAACTGATGCATGTGAAGGTGATGGTGGCGGTCCTGCTGTTTATAATGGACAACTTGCTGGCATTATATCATGGGGTTTCGGATGTGCAAGACCAAACTATCCTGGTGTTTATACTAGCATCGCAATGGTTGCTCCATTTATTAATCAAGCTATCAGAAATAATTCGTAAATGATTTGAGAAGTGCATGTTTGTGATTTATTATGTATTACCACAATTTTTATACAATTGAAAAAAAAAACAGTTTTCTTGTAATTTAAATTATGCCTAATGCAGCAGTGTGTAAAAGGAAGGGTTTGAGGTTAAGAGTTCCGAAAATATTTTCGCCATTTTACATTAGATATATTTGATTTTTTAAATTAAACGTTTTTATATGACGTTTGAATTATATTTCAAGAATACTTCTTTCAGTGAGTCTCTGTACACCCTCCTGGTTTCATGAATTGTTTTATTATTGTATTAAATGAGTATACAAAATGAATAGGTTTTATGTATATTACGAAGCCTTAATAATTATATTAATTACTGGTTTGTGTGAATATATTATCAGTTTTATGAATTCAACATACATTTTTTTAAGAGAAAATAATTCATTATTGAAGGTTTTGCACGTCATTTTACTGTGGTTTCTAAACTTTCAGACGACATTCGAAGTAGGGTGCAGAATTTTCTCAAAAATTAGTTTAACTCAATATCCGATCTGAAATTTTTTTCCCCTTAATTCATCATTAAAAGGAATATTATAAGAACCGCGGACATATAAAACCCAAAAAATAAATTTTTTTTATGGCCAATCTAGTGAACAAATATGTATATGTAGCCAAGCCAACTGACGTTATATATTTAGTGATATCCAAAATAAATGTATAGTCATCACAAAAATTTATTTGACTTTAGACTCAAGTTTTTGGATTCCAAAATTTTCTAACTATATCGATTAGAGTTTTTAGAAATAGATTTTTAGTCATTTTGGTTGGTTGGTTGCCGTGGCGGCCATTAGATAACTTCCATGAACCTCAATTAGCGATTTTTCGCTGTTTTGCTACCATTATATAGAACCCAAATATAGAAGAGCAAAGACTAAATTCATTCCGCCGAATTTAGATAATTTAATAGGTCTTTCGTCTTCACGGATGAATAGTCTAATAAACTATCAAGAAAGTATCTTCCTAAGAACCTACATCTTGTGGATGCCAAAGCCGGACATTCAAAGAGAAAATGTAATAATGTTTTCATTATCTTGCGGGTTTCCACAACTTCTGCAGTGAGAATTATGAGAAATTTCCAGTTTTTCTGCGTGGGTTTCTATACACTTGAGCAAAAAGAACTGTAGAAAACCTTACAGTAATTACGCGGTCTCTTTTAGTAAGTTCCGAGGATCTATTTTTATTGTATGTGGGCCATGTTAATCTGGAAGTAGTACATGATTAAGTGTTTTCCATCTGTTATTAGCAAGTTGAAGAAAGTAGAGATAAGTACTTCTCTTAATGGTCTCTTGGGTAATATAAACCAGTACCGCCAGGGACAAATCCAAGGAAGCACCAGAGCGAGCTAAACTGTCAGGTTTCTTGTTCCCTTCGATGTTTCAGCAGTTTATGGTACTCACAACATTCCTGTCGCACTCAATAAATGCTGATTTGAATGCTGAGATTATTGTACTATCTTTTTTTCATTGGTAACTATGCGGTGCAAAAATGTTGCTCCGGTTTACCATTAGAGTACCTATTTACTCAGCAATTATCGTTGTTTAGTCGTCTAACATCTCTCTGTTTCAATATTCATTGGTGCTAAGACTTAGATATTAGTTTCACTTCCTGTAGTAATATCCATAGTGGTTTTATGACGACAATTGGTTTCTATCAATAATGAAATAAAATTTTCAACTAAATAAAAAACTCAACTCTTTTTTTTTGTATGTGGTATGCATTATTTTTGATTCCCTCCACCATTCTGAATCTGTAAATATGTTTCAAACAGTTTAAAAAAAAAATTTAAGAGTTAGAAACTTTTAGTCGAAGACATCATTTGTATTTTTAATTTTTAATTGTCAATTGAAAGTCGTTTATAGATATTGATCAGTCATCAGTAAAACCGTTTACAATAGGAAAATAATAATAACAACTATTTCAAATCGATAAGGAAGAATTGTATTATTACTATAGAAAAAGTCTTAAAAAGTTTTATAAATGTTACATTTTTACTTTAGCACCCTGTAATAACCATACCGTACATGTTTATTTTGAAATAAAACAAAGCAATCAAATTCAATTAAAATGTATATTTTTAAAATATGCTTAAAAGATATTCACTTTAACCATATGTAGAAATGCAATAATTAATCCAATCAGCTGTTTTGGCAATACTAGTACAAACCCGTGGGTAATCGGCACGACCGCAACCATATCCCCAAGACATAATACCGACCACTTGATTGTTAGCATTTACGACTGGACCACCAGAATCTTTGTCACATCCATCTTTACCCGGAGCATTTGCACAGAACATGGTTTCTGTCAGTTCATAGGAGAGGAGGCATTGAGCTTTAGATATTGCGTTAACTGTGGTTGTTTGTAGAATATTTGAAGGTGAACCACCTTCACTGGTTAGTCCCCAACCGTATAACTTTAATGCTTGACCAGCTGAAACACCGCTAGTACCCAATACTGCTGGCGTGAGTGTGCTTGGCATGGCTGTTTTCAATCTCAACATACACACATCAAAATTGTAAGTTGTGATATTAAAGGCTGTTGGATAAATTAGCAAGTCCGCATTACGTCTAGTACCAGTCGCTGAGAAATCGTTGGTATTGCCTTGGATAGTTAACTGATCAATTGTGTATTTATCTTTAAGACAGGTTGCAGCTGTTATCACCATATTGGAGGAAACTAAGGTTCCGCAACATATCAGTTCACCGGTGCTCTTAAGCCTTATGTTAACTGTATATGGTGCGGCAGAAATTGGAGTGTCTGATCCACCTACAATTTTGGCTTGTCCATTTACATAGTTGGCCAAAGAAATTAATAACAACGCAAGTTGAAGCAAATTTTTCCACATTTTTCTTGTTGTGCTCTTAAGTCTTCTACCAGCTTTCTACCAAAATTTTTAAATTGATGGTCTTTTATAAAGGCCTTCACTTAAGAATTTTCGAAATGAAAAAAAAAAAATTAAATTAATTATAAAACAAATATTTTTGGCCGGCATTAACAACTTGCGAAGAATCTACTTTTTTTTGACATAAAACGAAATAAAAAGTTTCGAAATTAATTTGTTGAATTCAAATATATTCAATTTTTTCTATTGTGAGGAAAATAAATTGAATTCTGTATTAAGTTCTCAGTTTAAGAAAACTTAACAACTTATTTAAGACTTAATAACCTTTTTTTAGCCCTTTCTAACTAATTAACTGTATAGAACTATATATAAAAAGTTAGGCTAATAATATATATCATAAATCGAAATGATCATCTTTAAAAGGTAGCGATACATCAATTCATTGTAATTAGTCATTACTAGTTAGAAAAGATAGTCTAAAGTTTAATATTCCATTCATTAAATGAACTTATTTTCATATTCTTTCACCAATATTTATAATTATTGAATAATAGATCATCTAAGTGATTATAATTACTTACAGAATCTATTATAGTAAATTATTTAATTATATTAAACAACAGTTACCATTTGAATAAACTCAAAATCATACACAAGCTTGTTTGTTTAATAAACAAAAAATGTGAAAAAGTAAATATACAAGATATAAAATATATAAAATATATATTATAGGTATTTATTTGCATAGTAAACTTTATTAAAACATCTTTTTTATTTAAATATTTATTTTAAAATGCTTAGACATTTGGTATATAAAATGCATCACTTTATTTATATTTAAAGGTGTGTCTCAAGTAAGAACGCAGGATGAAAGCTCCATCAGCTTTTACTTTCCATAAAGAAAGTGGTTTTATATAAGAACCGATTGTAATAGATTACAAAGGATGTTAATACTACAAAATTATAAGTATATTATATAAACAATGAAGTGACGATTACACAAAATCATACAATCTCATAAAATACTCACATCTTAGTTTACTATTTTTACATGCACTGTCCTTCCACTCTGCCTTTGCTTATAAACAATTTTAAGCGACCTTAATTAGTTCTTTAAGGTCGATTTTATGATGCTTTTCAAGAAACCTTAACAATATACATATATCTTAGAAGTTAACACATTATCTAAGAAGAAACGAAGATTTACAATAAATGGCTTGATCACTAGTTAAATCCATATGGATATACCTCTGATGAGCGAAATTGATATTCAATCGTTGACTTGCCGAAGCGGTTAGATGTGCGGCTAAAGTTTGCAGATCATATCACCATACATTTCTTTCAAATTTCGTCTCTTCCCTTTTAGCTCTTGCTCAGCGAATTATAACCACTTTGTGTGCGGAGTAACTGGCCGCACATTTATACGTTGCAAGTGTGTTCAATTGTGTTTGATCCCTGCATAAACATGTATGGTTCTAAGTACAAACTCTTTTGTTTCAAAAAAGGTGGTTTGATGTTATAAAATATATGTGAAAAGTTGTATTTATTCCATATTGATATAATATTAAACTTATATATAAATTATTTATTTAATTTGTTTAATATGTTATTTTGTTAATGATTTATTAAATGTTATATTATGAATATATTGTTGCCTAATGTAATATAGTTATTATTAATAAAACATCTTATATATTTCAATTTATCATTTTTAATTTAAGTGGTACATGTAAAAACAACATTGTAGAAGGGCCACACATCCTTCCAGATAGGGCACGCGTCGCCACTGTCATATATGGATGGTATATCTGTATGAGTTGACTTATCTCTTATTTCCATTTAAGATATTGATATTTAATAATGAAGTACTAGGATTAAATACTTATGTGTCTATAGGAATAGTATGGAAACTAAATCGCAAAAGGTTTCTTTGGTTTCCTCTAATATGACAATAAATGAGAACGTAAAACAAATATATGTTGTTAAAGTTATTTATTCTATTAAGAATTTTTATAAGGATATAATTCACATCACTAAGCGCTTTTCATATCCCAGCAGTTTTATAAATTCGCATAACTGGAGTTTGAAATATATTCACAAGAAGATATTATATCACATATTCAATACCATGTATTATCTACTATATTTAAGACTCCAATGTTTATGTGTGAGGGAAAATTAGAAATAAACTGTAAAATCTTTTGTAGTTATAATATTGGTAGGAATATCTAAATAAGTTAAATATTTTAAATGATTTATTATTTTATGATGAATTTAAAATATATTTCATATATATTAAAATATTCATTTTGTGATTTAAGTGGTCTGCAGTTTATATTCAATTGACAGAAATTTTAGTTAATTTTAATAAGTTAACTAAAATTTTGGTCTTTGTCTTCTCTTTGCTATTCGAATCCATTTTAAAAAAACATTTTATTCATTAAGAAAAGAATGAAATATTTTATTATTTGTATACGAGTATTTAATTTTTGATTAGTTCATCATAAAATTAGTATTATTCTGCAATAGTCCATTCAAAACACACAAATGGTATCGTTCATTGGTTCCTTTTAAGCAACTAACTGATTAGGAAATAGAAAGGTTCTTGGTCAAAAAATTGTAAAAGTAAGAGGCCCAATTTAACGTAAATAAATTGAAAAAAGTAAAGTCAACTGGAAAATATCTGCAATTAAAAATTCCCAATATCTCAAAAATGGCTTATCTTAATACCAATAGGTCAAATACCTATTAATAATAAGTTATTACACTTAAATGGGTTCGGAAATGATTTTTAGAACATTTTTCAATGAAGTATTTTAAAAGCTTTGTTATATTTTTCTTTAATTTTTTGGTAACTAGTGCATAATTTAATTATACTTTATAATTTTAAATATACTTTCTTTAAAGAATTTTTCATCTCCCATTGATATTTTTTCTACTGTCAGTCTATAATATAAGCTTTTTGCGGCTGCTTTTTAGAATGAAGGTATAGTTTCAAAGGTAGATTTTTATTTAACAACTGATATTTAGATATATATTAAAAATGAACTTCCATAATTATTTTTTTTGAACCCAGTTATTTCCTGCTTTTATAAATTTAGTTGACTAAATGCAAAGAAGAAATTTCTGTATATTACAATTAAATTGAAATAGTATCAAAAGATATACTGAACACGTTCATATTCAATTTTGCTATAAAACAAATTAAAACGTTTCATATATCGTATTCTATAGTTTCTATATTACACTAATTTCATTTACCCATAAAATTAGTGAAAACTATAAAACGCTTTTTCAAGCAATACATTTACTCCATTTTATTACTACGATAAGATCTACAAATAACCCGGAAAATAAAATAAAATAACGGTTTCATTTGCTAATAGACTTGACGGCTGCTTATAATAGTAAAGAATTATGGTTTTCTTCGTTGTAAATCGCTAGCACTGTTTCGGTGACTTGTGCCAGACGTGGCTGCAAGCGAACTCAACAAAGATTTGAAATAGTTTAAGGTTTGCCAATTAACAATAGGGATCATTTAACAGCCGCTGAACATACTAAAATTATGAAAACTAACTACAAAAATAAGTGACGATTATTGGAATTGAATGGTTTAATTTTTATATTGGTAGACATATCACAAAGACACAATCTCAAGACATTGTCATAAAGTCATTATATCCGTGAAAACTGACTGTATGGTGTGGTATTTGGATTGAAGGTATGATTGACCTGTACTTTTTTTAAAATGACAAAGATGTAACACAAACCGTTGATGCTGATCACAAAAACTACATGCTTATCAATACCATTCGGCGAGAAATTGAAGATGAGTAGTAACCACTGATGAAGATTTGTCACCAGTGATTTTATTTACACAATCACCCAAAGGATTCCATAAGGATTATCCCACAATAACAATCCTTAAACTCTCGATGCTTTGAAAACGAACATCTTTTAAGTAATATCTCTTAATAATTTTTGTTTTATTATTAATTATTTAAAATTTGTTGATTTGATTTGTTGCAAGGGCTTATTATACCAATAAGTCGTGTTTTGAGATATTTGTAAATATTATTTCGACTCTTAAACTTATTGTTCTACAAATAATATATAAGTTTTTGCTCTCATATTTACTAAATAACTTAGCTCGGCACCCTCGTCATTGTATTGTAGACTGTTTTATTAAATATTTATTTAATTTGCTTACGTATTAACAAAATTAAATACTATAAAAAAAATTAATTAAATAAAAATGTAAATAAAAATGTTTTATTCAAATACTAATGAAAAACATTAATGAAACAACACGCTCTTTATATTTACTTTTACCTTTGGGGATTTTTTGCATTACTTGCTCAAATATTAGTTGTAAGATGTCTTCTAATGTATAGTGACAAGCGGTATAAAACTTCTGTTTTTATTATCCCAACAATGTTTTCATAATCAGGGTTTTGAGAAACTATATACTCTATACTATGATAACCTTTCGATTATACTGTACAAGTATTGTTATGCTAATTATAAACGTCTAGAGTCAGGAGATTATATGGTCTGGACCCCTATATTCAGTAATAGCTCCAGAACACATTTAAAGTCCATGACCATATGCTGCATTTTAATGAGATAGCTGGCACCTGATGAAAAATATGTGTTTAAAATAACTAACGCGATGGAAAACAGTTAGCAACGTGCTGATGACTCAAATTGATGTTTAGATTGATGTTCAGTCTAATAAGATCAATTTTTTTTATTATAATAGATTAGACAAGGATTCATCAATATATTTTGCAATCAAACCGTCATTTAGATAATTCGACCGCAAATTGTAAGGTTTCAACTTTTGTATTTTACGATTCATACAATATTTTATTCACCGCTATTCTTCTAAAGAATGAAAAATAAATCGCTAACAAATATTATTATATCAACAATATAGATAAAGCAAGAACTTAGGTAGGCCATTAGGTAACTTCAATGTACATCAAATAGTGATTTTTTGC